GCCAGCCCAATTTGTCTTTGCAGCGAGGATCCTTACCCAAGCTCGCCAGCATTGCAGTAGTGAAATCTGGTGGTGTGGTCAAAGTAGCACTGGCTCTTGCCTCCAAGCTGGTAACACGAGGGCAGAACAGATGCCAAAAATGCACTCCGTGCATGGCTTCCCTACATACAGGACTAATAACATGCAATAATTCAGCATTACTTCATATAGTTTAGTTTAATAATGATGACAGTCAAAAAAAGACAAAAAATTAGGTTTTTATTATTATAGAAAGCACAGTATTGTAACATTCAAAGAGTGATTATAATTATACAGAAATAATCTGCAAATGAGTTTGGCAGAAAGTCTTGATGTATTACACCAGAAGTCAATTCATAAAGGACAGACCTACTTCAACAACCCACTGCCCCCCTCTTTTGCACATTTTAAAACCAAAAGCTGAGATACTCCTACAGGCATTCTGATCAGCGTAATTACAAGTTACCTGAGTTTATGTTCTTAACTTCATTCTACACTGTCAGAAAAATCAGGGCCTGGATTACACAGCAATTATGAACACAAAATATATACCAAAAGCAGAGGTAATAATACTTGTATTATAGAGCATTTAATTTGTTTTTCCCCTTCCTCAGCAACAGTCTCATAAGGAAATGAGACAGAGGAAAATTCTTCAAAGTAAAGAAAAAAAGTTACCTCCTCCAACAATCTGGTATGACGACACAGGTTGAAAATTCAAGATTAGCACCTAAAATATTAACAGTGGCGGAGAGACATTATGCTGGATAGCATCACGCTTTATTTTCTCTCCTCCCTTATCTGCTGGATTTCAAAACCAGCATCAGAAAACCAAACACATTCTGCTCAGGTTGGCATGATCCAGGAAGGCAAACACAGTCTGACAAATAGGAAACAGCATCCGGCTCAGGCTATTATCCAAAGGTCGTATTTGTGCCGATGCAGTGAAAATGAGTTTGAGTCACAGCAGTTTCTCCTGTGGGAGGGTATCTGCACATGGGGTTCTGCTTACTCCATGAGCACCAGCCATCCACTACGGTTCCCAACTGGCTGCAGAGCTTAACGTGCACGGGGACCCTCTGCAGTCACAGGGGTTCCCCATGGACACCTGGTTTTGGTCCACTTCAGCAGCCAGAGATCAACCCTGCATTTCTACCCCCCACCCAGCTTGGTTTAAAAGCAGAGCTTGAACTACTCTACCAGGGCAAGAAAGACTCAGAACCAACATCAAAGCTCTTCTGCAGCCCCTCCACCCTGACCCAATTGTCCTGAACAGGGGTGGTGATTGCCCAGGCACAGGGATGCTGGCCAGGACAAAGCACACCGTCACGCTGCGAACACAGGTTCACACCTTCCAGCAGCTGCCACCTCCATAAGCACTTCTCTGTGGCACTAATTGGACAAGCACAGGTTTTTCTTTCAGAAATGTCCTCCCCTTAACTGAAAGGATCAAATGCAGTACAGAAAACCTTAGCTAACCCAAATGTCATGCACCCGTTTCATTTTCACCTTTGTTAAATAATGTAATTGTCCCGGAAACGGTTCTTCAGCAATCCTGAGAGCCAGCACCAGCGTACAAGCTGTCCTCCAAAGAGAAGTGAAGCACAGTGGGTATGCTAGGGCAGCATGCAGCCGCAGTAAATAACCTTGAGCTTGCTTTGTTCCTTCATAAAATAAATGATTAATAGCTTGGTATAGTCAGTCTGCTATTCAAGGCTTACTGAAAACTTTTGATCAGTTTGATTCATTAACCTTTAAAACTGCATCTAAGAGAGGCTTAAAATCTGAAGGAGAAGCATAATTTTAAAATGAACACTTCAATTTTATCCAGCAATCCTATTTTTTAACAAACTGAGCTAAGCATTGAGACACTCTGCTCTTCTTCAGAGGCACTCAGCATCTCAGTCAGGTGTCAAGGAAGAAATAACAAGGGAAAATAAGTTGATGTAGACAAACAAAGCCACATTCATCTTAAAATTCAAAACCGATCAGGGCTGGGGGGAAAAAATGGCACTTCTTTGTGATTTTTAAGCATTTGGCCGATTCGCAGGTGGCTTCCCAACTGTCTCTTTTATTTCTTTTCGTTTTAATGCTAATAAAAAAGGAACACAGACAGGGGACTCAATTCCCCACACAATGCAATGGGGGAGGGCAGAGAGTGTAACTTACGTATCCGAAAAGTCTGACTCAGACAAATTACTTCTAGTTCACTTCCTTACTACACGCCCGCATTGTTCCAACACCTTGGTAGCATAAGGGGTTCATCACCAGCTATCTGGTCACAGAAACAGCAATGCAGACTAATGTCATTAAAGAACTGTTCCAATTACTTCCCCGGGGAAAGAAGTGACTTGCAGCTTAACGTCCTGCCCCAACACAGCAGGAAAACCAACCGTCTGCAAACGCCCAGCTAATGACTGCTGCTCTATTGGACCTGCTCCTGGGATGAGTTTGTCTTCCAGGGATGGCAGCTGGTTCCTGGATCAGAAGTACAGATGGTTGGAGGCTCGGCCACAATTTGCTTTGAAAGTGAGGTTGGTGATAGATTCTCAAGAGGAAAAAAAGGCATTTTGAACCAAGGACGACTGATGGCCACTGTTGCCAGGCTGACACTAGGAACTTGCTATTGGATTGTTTTTACTATCTAGAGAAGACAGATACTATGATAGTGTAAAAAGGACAGGACAGGGCCCTTGTCCTTCACGTGGCCAGAGAAGTGCTTCACAACCAGCCACATGGTTGCAGTGCTAGAACTATCAGCACAAGAAAATTGCATCACCTCCAAGGGAATCACAAGCCTTTCGTAGAGAAAGGAATGCCAGCTATAAATTAAAACAGTTAAAAACTTCTTACAGATGCATGGCTCACATAACCAGCCTGCACCATCTTTTCCTGTAATAATTATACACAGTCAAGGATTTGTGAGTCTAATAGTTTTAGGGAGAAATTCTCAAGCCATAGCTGTCAGATTGTGGAAGGGTTTTCTGAAATCCCATCAAAGCTTGTAGGAATTCAGTAAGATTAGCAGAATACTAATATTCTTACTTGGAACAATATTGAGGTTTCTGACATAAAAATAGAATGCTGCACTCGTGCTGCTTCAGATATCCAGCAGTGGCGCAAATAAAGATACAACGTTTATAAAGAAATCAAACCTCACCTGTCGTTTTGGTATTTTTTTTTCTGTACTTGAATCTTTACACCAAGCAAAATGCTTAACTACAAAGAAATAAACCCAATTCCTAACATCTATAGCTTTCCTCCGGTCTGATTAAATACTTAGTGGTGTTCAAATTTAAGTATTCAGTAGAAACTGTAATAGCAGCTGAAGTGAACAGTTGAAGGTACCACAGACAGTTAACATGGCAAAACTGTATCTTGTCTTTTGGGCACCAAACATGAATATGTCATGGATTTGCATGGCATAAGCACAAAGAAGCTTCCATCTCTGCACTGTAAGATCTCACACTGAATGTAGTTGGACTCGGCGTTAGATTCAGTTCAAGAGCCAGAAGACTCTATTCCTACTCCACTCAAGCCACTCAGGATGCAATTCAATCCCAAACACTGCAGGACCAGACAGACTATGGGGAGGGGAACATTTCACTCTCCCTCTTGCTGGCACAGAGATTGGAAAAATAAAGAGCAAAGCAGCACTGAGAATATGCGTAATAATAATAAAAGAGCTTAGGATGACAAGGAAAAATGACTTAAGAAGAAACGGAGAATTTTTTTTTCTACTCAGAAGCTACCTGAACTTAAATGTACTGTTTCAGTCATACCACTGAACACAACAACTTGCTACAGCCTGGAGTGTAAAGAGAACAAAATAGGCCTGACTGATCCAAAAGTGAACGGTTAGCACAGGGAACTTAATGGCTCTCTTGCGAATATCACCACATAAAATCAGTGCGTCAGGAATTACATTAGTGTACATCATTAAGTGAACGGCATAGTGTTATATGGCAGTGCTTTACACTATTAACAGTTTGAATTTATTAATTTTAAACCAGTTTTTGTTCTTTCTCAGCTATCTAGTCAATCTTCTGTTAAAGCCCAGTGTGTGCTGCACTAATATGGTTGGACTTGATGATCTTTGAGGTCTCTTCCAACCACAACGATTCTATGGTTCTATGATTCCTGGAGCTCAGCAGTGTATTTTTAAGAGGAAGATTCACTCATATATTCATCTGTGGCTTCAACCTGGCTCAGCAACAAGTCTGCACAAACTACAAGTACATTCAAGTTCGATTACAGCTAACACATGCCACTGCTGTGGAGAATAGATTCTGGACCTAAGAGAAGCCCATGTGCTTATCTTCCACCAAAATGAAAGTGCTTATTAAAAAGTGTTGCTTGCTTCTACATATAAAGTACCCAGTGTGATATCTGAGGGCGTGCAATGTGCCTCAGCCTGTTTTCAAAGGAGTTTAAGTTGCATAACTGTTTTTTATATTTAGTTCAAGCAGCTTTTAAAAACTTTACAAGTAAGTTTAAAATAATTACAGGGTATTAATTAGTGCACTCTGCAGAGGGAGAGATTCAGCCCAAGTGCATGAAAAAAAAACAAGCAAAAATAGTCCTTCTAAGCCTGATTTATCGGGCCTGTATCAGACAATCTTAACAGTTTTATTCTCAAACGTCTTACTGTCTCCCTGAGGGAAAACTGCAGAAAAACACTGCACACAAGTGTCCTTGTAATAGTTTAAACAAGATTTTCAGCCGTCCACAGAAATGAAGAAGTTATGTCCCTGCTTTCAGACCCAAGCAGGTCGCTCACTCCCATCACACTATGGGGAGCACAGCATTACAAAAAAATGTTTCTGTTTTGTAAGCGTTCAGATAATCCCTGGAACGGTTTTTCATGATTAGACATACTCTCCACTTACTGTCAGGCTATCATTTTATAAGTATATTTAGTTTCTTAAAAACAAAAAAACCCAAAAGCCATACTTGTAGAGAAAATAAGGCCTGCTTTAAAAAAGACTGCAACAAGTTTCTGTGGGGTATTTACTTGCTCTAAACAGAACCAAGAGAAGTCTAATCAGAACATTTTGGCCAGGACACAAGAAGTAACTCTGCTTGACAGATGTTAATTTAAAAAAATCACCAGTCAAGAGCAACGAAATAACCTTTTCCTTTAGCTGCTGGAAGGTACCATCCCATTCAAAGATCTTTTACAATGAACCACCTACTTGCTGTCTGTCCTTTTGTTATAAATGAGAAAGTCAGAAATGTCGTGCCATACATTACTATCGTCATACAGGTAGGTCATGGAAGACTGCAGAGAAGGCTGCAGAGTTTGCCGGTGGTATTCAAAGAGCCAGAGAACTGTCCCCCATATCAGAGCAGTGACAAGTGGAAAGGGATCCTGCTTTGGCTGTGGGACATAGCCCTTCTCCACTGCCAGCCGAGACAAGCCAAAGAGCACACGAGACAGCAGGTACATAACGATCTGCATGAAGAGAAAACCCAAAGAACATTAGGTAAATAATGTGACCAGATATACGAGCTAGGTTAAGTGATTTAGAAGTGATTCGCCAGGCAAGAGGGGTGCAAACAATTTACCCAACTTAAAAGCAAACAGGTTGTAGGTTCACATATCAAGCAGTCTTCGTAACTGGAGACGTTTGCGTTTTCCCTATGCCCTCAAAGTCCTACTTCTTTGCTGTTGCTCTAATTTAGTAATAAACAAGTTATACTTAATGCAACACATCTTTGCAGTTGCAAAACTCCTGTCTTTGCTCAGTTAATGCTACCTCAGACGCTGCTGCTGGTAGAATAGTCACAGAGCACCCTGCTAACCTGCCAAGCAGTTACAAACTCAGTAGTCTGGACACATCTTAAAACCCGACTGAAGGTGTGCTAATGCAGGTTGCATAAGTAGAACACTTTTGATCAATCTGCATCCGTGTGTTTTACTGACTGATTAATCTGTGACTGTGTGTTAACAACCAGCTTTAAATCAAACGTCCCCAGAGCAGCTTTTATCAGTTTAAACAGTTTAGTTAAGTGTAGCTCAGTAATTAGTTGTGCTCTATACTCACAATGTTCAAGCTAAAGGGTTTAACCCTGCGAGTAGGTGGACTAAGAGTGCACTCAGTCAGTTACCACAGCCGAGATGACAGATGAGGTAACCCAACGGCTTTGGATTGCGTAACTGCCTGTCTTCCTAGGTATACAACAAGTGCAGCTCTGGAGGTACACCTGGGCTTTTAGTGCTCAAACTGCACACACTGTTCACAGAGGCACACAACCAGCTCTAGGATTTGAGTGCAGAGCAGCCAAAATAAGAACTTGTGCAAGGAGGAATGTGGTAAAAGGGTAATGCTACATGGTAAGAACCACCAGAAACATGCCAGGCTATACCAGCCACTTCCTAGCACATGATCGTCTATCTCTTGGGTTTTTTTGTCAAGGAAACTTTCAATAAATGCATTTACCTGGCTGTTGATGGGATTGTTATCACCGAACACTAGCCAACCCCCAATGCAGGCTGCAAAGAAAGAATGAAATGGAATTTTTTTCCCCTGTAGTTGGGACTGCAACGCCATCAGCCCCTTGTAGGTGAACACAAAATATGCCAAGTTCCGGGAGTGAGTGTACGTAGCCTGAGCAATCGATTTCAATTTCTCTCTTAAACTGAAGAAAAGAAACAGACAATTAGGAGAGCAAAAAGGCAGGACCACTGCAGTCACTCAGCCTGGACATTACGCCCCTCTGGCCTGCCCATCTAGATCGACAGCTTGGGCACCCCACAGAACATCTTGTGAGGGAAGAGAAATCCCTTCACCTCTGGCCCACTCATCAGAATACAGCTCTACTTAGACCACAAACTGTGCTTCTGTCCAATTCTATGAATAGTCAAGCAGCCTTTGAATTTTTTTTCCTAAGTGCAAATCTCTCACATAAGTGGGGAAAGACACAGTGTGCACTGCTATAGTTTAGCTTCCCTTATTTGAGCAGAGCGCTGCTGTTTGCATCTGCTAATTTTTCCTGTGCCCACTGGTTCTCATCAACCATTCTATGAGTGGCTGACCCCCACGACTACGTATATTTGTGCATGCATAGGAGCTGTCCTGCTTAGCTGGCAGAAGCATGGGCTACGACCATGGCTCACGTATCTTTCTGCTTTTTAAGCCATCTGAAAACATGAAAAATTGGATCCTTGAATGAAAGCATCCTAAGCAGTAATGCAGAAATATATAACTAGGGTTCGTACCTTCCGCTCTTGAATAGGAAAGTCATCACTAGGGCATGTGGGGCACGAATTTTTGCTCCATAGCTGCAAAAGTCAGTAGATATTTCAGAGTTTTTGTATTATACTATGAAATTACTATATTTCTATTCTACTGATTGCCACAAGATGCTACTTAAGCAACTACATCGTACTTTTAAGTCAGTCCAGTTGCAGCAGCACACCAAACCGAAGGAGCCCAGCCCACAGGCTTAGGAGAACGTACACCCCAATAAGCCAGACCCAAAGGGGACCCCAAAAGCAGCTAAAACCCCGACTATCGGTCAGGGAGACAGAAACGCCCCTCCGGAACCTCTACCACAACAGCCCCGGTCTCCTTACAGGCAAGGAGGGCACACGGCGGCCTTCCCACGGCCCTCAGGGCTACTGGGC